TTGACACGCCAATGATATATACAATATAATATGTTACGATAATTTAGTAATTCGCCAATAAAAATTAAAGCTCGATTATGTTTATTATTTATCAATTTCCGTATAAAATGGTAATTCTTGATATATTTTTAATAGATGTATTAAAAATGTAACTTTGGGTTTTTTGTCTATCGTATTGTATTATTGTATATTATGCCATAGTGATCGACAAAAAGTTTAAAGTTACGTTTTGATATTTTTATTAAAAATGCATCAAAAACGATCATTTTGCATGAAAATCGGGTCCTCCAAACAATAAAAATAAACAAAAAATAGCATTGTTAATTTAAAGAACATACTAAAATGAACTTAAAAATAACTTTTATTTATGTAGGTTTACTGGTTCAAAAGTTATTACAGTTTTGAATTTTTATTTTTACTATTACATGATAAAAAATCTCGATCAAAATTAGATTATCATTATATCATCTGCACTATTTGTAATTAGACCGATATAGAACATCCCAATAATGTTGCATTATGCAATGCAAAGCCAAAAAATGTGCATTCGCATATCTCTAGACAATGCTCATTTATTATAATCAAAAAAAAATTACAAATGATTCAGTAATATATATATTTTATTATTTATCAAATGTCATCGTCATTAGGTTTATGTCTTCTTTGATATTTGATTGCTGTACGAAATGAACAATTATCTATGAAATGGTGGAATTTGTTGCCAACTAAAAAAATGGTAAGCATCTGTGATTGTTATTTGGACCTGGTTTTTTTTTTTATTTTCATAAAATTTCTCATTAACGAACAGAATAATTCGTTGATGTGAGAGTTGGATCAATGACAATGCTTCTCGAGTGATCTTTTTGAATATTCAGTTAATGTAAATTCTACCAAGCCAGATATAAAAAAAAGAGATAGTCTACTTAAAAAGTTTGTAAATTGAAATGATTAACTTATTTTTTTTTACTAATAACTAGTTGTAACCTCCCTTATATTGCTCTTAGTTTATATATTTTTTATTGATAACTCCCAAATCGATAGCGCCTCAAGCCTTAAAAATATATCCAAAGCTCAGCGGCAGTTTGAACACAAAAATTAACAAATATACATTCTAGGTAATACAGTTATTAAAAACACGAAATGGTAATAAATGCGGTACCATAGTGTTCCGAACGCGATGTAAATAGACAAGTTTGGACAAGATATTGGTCATATTACACAAAAAGGAATGTCATAACACAAAAGTTTACTATGAAAATAAAATTAAAAATATAAATTAAGATACGTCACCTCATTTGATCAATAAGCACAAAAACTAAAGGGAAATATCCTATACCTGATATACTTTAACCTTGTAATTTATAAAAAATATTAAGAAAGTAATTTGCTATCAATATAAATCTCTTTACTTGGTTTAATATTTTTATAACTCTTAGAATTTTTAACAATTTCCCTCGTATTAATAAGTTTAGAAGTATACATAATATTTTTATGTTTTTGTGGAATTTGTAATTCTTTGGTTAATTTATCAGGTTCTAAAAATTGCTGTTTGATCTTCTCTTCATCAAATTTACCAACTTTCATACAATATTTATTATTAAAATCGTCAAATTTATCAACCTCCATACAATTATAATTACTATTAAAATCGTTAAAGTTATCAATTTTCAAAAAACAATCACTAACAAAATTACTACTAACAAAATCGATCAGTCTCACATGAACAAAAGTAGGATAATATATTACATGCTCATTATAATTAGTAAATTCATAATCATTCACATAATTAGTAAATTCACTAACTATACTTTTCCGCCAATTATTAAGTTTATTAAAAATTTCAAAGCCTTAGGTCTTTTTTTCGCATCTTTGTCAATACATTGCTTGGCTAATTCAACATAACATTTTGGTGTTTCTATATTAAATTCAGGTCGCAATCTATAACAAATCATTGCTGCTAATACAGCATCAAATTTGTAACCATCAAAGGCCTTAGTCCAGTTGAAATTTCTATCATAATAATTCCAAAACTATAAATGTCAGCAGCTTGAATGAACTGTTTTCCTTCCAATACTTCTGGTGCTATATATGGCAAAACACCATAAATCAGACCATCTTGTTTTTCATCAAACGATATTGATAAACCTAAATCAGAAATATAAGCTTTATATCCCTTGTTTATTAAAATATTGCCAGAATATAAATCTTGATATATAAATTTGTTTGTATGAATATGTAATAGTTCCTTAATGATATCGCATAATATTCCTATTTTAATTTCCCACTTCAATTTAAATATTTCTTTAAGATTTTCACATAATGATCCAAATTCTGCGTAATTTAGTACTAAAATAAAATCACCCGTATTTTTATCCCTTGAAATGCCATGATATTTACCAAATTTATGATACGCCTTTAGCTAAAGAAATAAATAAATTATACAATTAATTCATAGACAAAATAAATGAAAAAAAAATACCTCATTTAAAAAAAGTTTTTCATTTTTGTGTGAATCTCTTATTATCTTGATTGCAACTTCTTTATATCCACCATATTGCCTTTATATGATGCTTTATACACTACAGAAAATCTACCTCTACCTACTTCTTCAATACTTTTAAAATTATCGTATTTTATCCAACGAAAATAGCTTGGATGATGATCATATTCATATTCAGTAACGTCGGCACCATTTAAAGAGTTAAGAACAACATCCAAAAGGATTCGAAATTCGGATATAATGTTTTGAATCATGAATAGGAAAAGTATTAGCCGATGCATTTTGAAAGAACACTACCTTAATATCTTGAATGTGAATGATAATGATCTTGGATCAGAATGAAGAAAAGCATTAACTAATGCACATTGAAAGAACATTTTGTTTAAATGATTTGAATCTATAATGAAAGAACTGGGATCATTTTGATTTTGGATCAGAAGGAGAAAGAGCATAAGTTGATACACTTTGCAAGAACATTGTCTTAATCTCTTTAAACTTTGTGATAATGATCTTGGAGGAAACATTAATTGATGCATCTTGCAAGAGCATTTTGCTAAAGGATTTAAATCTAAAAGATAATAAACTTGGATCATTTGCAAGAACACCGTGTTGATTTTCTAAATCTTTGTTGTAAAGATCTTGGATTGGAAGGAGAAAAAGCATATAGCAAATGCACTTTACAAGACCCCACATTGATTTCTCCAGACCTTAGTGAATAATATTAGATCAGAAAGAAGAATAGCATTAGTTGATGCATTTGCAAAAACGCTTTACTAAATTATTTGAATCTACAATGTAATAAACTTGTACCAGAAAGAGGAAAGTATTAGCAGACGTACTTTGTAACATCACACTTGACTTTATTTAAACACTTATCGAAGTGCACAAGGGCCAACTGTTGTACCTTGCAAGAACAGCTTGCTAAAATATGCCACTTTCCCATGATGCTCTTTTTTCTCTCATATGTTTCTTCATAAATAAAGTTAATCTTAGCAAGAAGAATGACTCTATGCATTGATGATAGTCATGCTAGGGTTATTATTCTGAGGATTACCCCTTTTGAACTGTGTAATTTAAAAAATGTTATTTAAAGATTAGATGGATTGTTGTAACCAGCAGTGCATTTTTCCTTTACTGCTTGACTTAGATCTGGCTCTTTTATATATGGTTCTGCACAGCCCCACTCTTAAAAATTGTTGAAAATTAGGATAGCAAGAGACTTACACAGAGAGTACGTGCTTGAAGAATGAAAACTAGTAGTTATATAAATGGTACATTCAAAACTTGCTGACATGAAGTATTTGAATAAAACATATAATTGTTATGTGTATATGTAACAAGTAGAATGCGTCACACCATAGTATAAGCCTGTATTTGCTACTTCAAAGACAAGTAGAATATAAAAAGTTATAATAGATAGTCTACAAGAATATCATACCACCTAATTTGAATATTTCTAGTAATAATGAAAAAAAATGTAAAATGTGAATAAATAAATAAATTCACAAGGACTTGCTATGGTCTTTTTTCCATGACTTTAATTGACATAGCAAGTGAAATTTGCTGTACCATAGTGTGAGTTTGTACTTGCTACTTTAAAGCAACGAAAGTACCTTGTTTATATCCATCATCAAGAATCTGTCAAAATAAGAATTCTAGTAAAATATATAACCTTACAGACTGTTATTTTTACAGAATAGAAGTTAAAAAGATAAATATAAGGTATTTATTTAGAATTAAAGTCTACCAAAATAGGAAATGCAAAAGCAAAAAAAAAAAGAGAAAGAAATCAAACATTTGAAATGGTGAGAAGTGGATGTCAACTAAAATATTACTTTGAGCAAAAAAAGACTAACTTAATTGAGAGTATAGAGATTTGCTGAACAAAAGGACACTCTGAGCATATTCAAATGTTTTAAAGAAGTGTGGTTTTATTAGAACTTAATAGCATCATTTATTTTGGAACTCATGCTTTTGCTTCAGAGCTTTTATTAGATGGATTGGCTAAACATTTTCATTTGAAACAAAGGCTAATTGGCTTTAACACATGTTTATCAAGGAAGCTTTCAAAGTAATCAGTTACAAAATTTACAAAAATGGTGTAACGATTTTTGGAAAAGTATCAAAATAAGATCTTGATTCCAAAGATTTTACATTACCGAAAGAAATATGCTAGTTCTCTTATTAAATAAGAAGATTTACAAATAGAAGAAGCAAAAATCTGGAATTATATTATTGAATAGGAAACTGCACAGAATCTAGACTTATCATCAATTGGACCAAAAATTAGACTAATCCAAAGAATTGCAAATCTGAATAAACAAGTACAATCAACAGCTTTTCCACTCCAAACAGTTTTGAAACAAGAATTGTTTACACATATGCCAGTATTGTGAACCTGGGAGAACTTTCAGTGTTTACAGGTTGGTTTAGCTAATATACTGGTTGCCGAACCAAGCGAATACTACCATAGTAATAAAGGGAAAAGAAGAAAATTAAAATGCAAGAACCATACCACATTATAATTCTGGTTTATGGGTAAAAGTAGAATGTATATGGGCTTGTACATGCTACTTAAAGAAAGAAGCACCTTTTTGTCATTACTTGTAGTGTAGCAAGTAGAATGTGTTGCACTATAGAATGGGCTCTTCTTGCTGCATTAAAGAAAGAAGAAAAAGTATTCATTAGTTGTTATAGATAGTTCATTATAGAAGAAGTTAACTGCATATCTTGTTTGTTGCTAGGCATATGTGTAGCTAGTAGAATGCACCACACCATAGTGTGGGCTTGCACTTGCTGCTTAAAAAAAAAAAAAAAAAAAAGAAGGGGGAATTATGAATCCAGTAAATAAAAGCAAAGAAATAGATTGAGAATGAGTGTGTACTGGTGGGTCGAACTAAATAAGAAGGTAAAACAAGAAGACAAGAGAAAGCAGAAATGGCAGGAGGAGCTAAGGAAGTGGAAGAAACTGAAGAAGCCAATGAAGGGAAAGAAGCTGAAGAAGCCAGAGAAGCTTGAGATGCCAAAGAAGCGGATAAACCCAAAGAAGTGTAAGAAGCTGACGAAGCAGAAGAAGCCAATGAAGCAGGAAGAAGAAGTAGATATAGAAAAAGCAGGAAAACTGGAAGGAGCGGTGGGAGCAGAATGAGTGAAATATGCGTTTGGTCTTTTGGTATGTTTAGGAATGCACTATCATAGTGCGCCATGTACATGCTTGAGTTTCGATCCTCTTTTTGTCTTCATCATGTGACCAGCAAGTGACATCTGATTAGTCTTTATGTTTGAAAGTGTATGTATCGGCGCCAAGAGCCGCAGCGTAGCACCACTCCCATATATATCTTCATAAATAAAGTTGATCCTAGCGAGAATAGTAGTGTAATTTGCACTAATATTTTTTTTCCTGTTATACAGCATGCATATGCATGCAATATTGCCAAAATTGCACTGATATTCATTGTTTGCATCATCTGTAAAACGAATTCCGCGCAGAAGTGCGCCAGTACAGTTCTAGAAAATTGTACAACTGCTGCCGTTGCAAATAAAAATTGTTAACGTTTGCAGTATTGTTTCCATTTTTTTTTGTTTTTGTTTTTTTTTTATTTTAAATCGAAATGGAACAAATTATTAACAATTTTAAACAACTAAATTTCGATGAGTGCAAAAAATTGGCAAATACCAACGAACCAGACGGAATTTATTGGCTTGGTTATTGTTACGAATTTGGAATTGGTGTTGAAAAGAATGAAAACGAAGCATTCCATTACTACCAAAAATCCGCAGATCTGAATAATTCCAACGGAATTTATAAAGTTGGATATTGTTATTATTTAGGAATTGGAGTTGAAACCGATAAAAAAAAAGCGTTTAAAAATTATTTGAGATCAGCTGAAGCAGGTAATTTCAATGGAATTTGGAAAACTGCTTGGTGTTACTATTACGGAATTGGCATAGAAAAGGATAAAGATAAGTTTGATGAATGGATTAAAAAGTAGGTTAATTTTTTAATTTATTATTTTTAAAATTTCGAATATTTTATACAATTTTAATAATTCATTCAATTTTAATAATTATTAGGGATCATTTAGTAGTCGAGTAAGTGTAATAAATATTAATAATTTGAATTAAAAACAGCAAAACAAGTTCACAAATCAAGAACATAAATACTTATTTACTATTACTATTATGTAATACCCTTCAAATCATTTCATTCGCA